GAAGCAGAAAGAATTTGCGCTCAAGAACCACCGACAACTGCTTCAAACCGTCCTTGATGACATGCTCTCCAATATTCCCGTACCAATGGATTTGGATGATGCTGGCAACGTCGAGCCCAATGATATGCAAGACGAGGAACCAATATTGTCACTCAAGAGAACCGCAACTTACTCCCTTGTTTCCTCCCGGCCCACCAAGCGTCGCAAATTGAATTCATCTATGGTTCCAAGTTCTGCTACAGCATGGGCCAAACAAATCAATGAACGATTCACTCCTTTGCTACCTGTCATTATTGAAGATCCAGAAGAAGAAGACATCATCATGAGTACTATTGACTTGTCTTTGGGTGCTGGATTGATTGATGACAACAGCAACTCTGACGTATCAAGAGGAGACGACGATGTTTTCTTCCCCATGAACAAGAAGGAAGAGGATTGGGACCGTCTGAAATATGTGGACTGGAACAGTCTTGAACACGCTCCACCTACATCTACACCAACTACACCACCTGTTTCTATTCTTCGTCCTGGAAGAAAAGATTGGGGATCACCTAGAACCACCAATCGTGTCAGTTTCACCCTTACCAATCGGAGAAGAAACTTTATGCCAGACCAGGAAGATATACAATCAAGAAAGAACCGAATTCAAGAAATTTACAGTCAGATCAAGTATCATGAGCTGCGCAAGTGTTTTGAAGAACGACTGCTTCCTCAGCTGTGGAGTACTTTGATGGCCAAGAAAAAGGCCAAGAGAAAGGTCAAGAAAAAGGCCAAGAAAAAGGCCAAGAAGAAGACAACAAAGGTTGATTTCAAACCTACTCTTCCCGTCATTACTGAAGATCCAGAAGAAGAAGACGAGAACCACTTCGACTTGTCTTTGGATACTGGATTAATCAAAGACATTGAAAGGGAAGGTCCAAGCTTTGCACTTGCGCGCAAGAATCACCGCCAAATGCTTTGCACAACCGTCCTTCATGATATGCTTTCCAATATCCCCTTACCAATGAATTTGGATGACGACGGTGACAACGAGCCCAATGTCATGCAAGACAAAGCACCACGATTGTCACTCAAGAGAACAGCAACTTACTGCCCTGTTGCACCCAGACCCACCAAGCGTCGCAAATTGAATTCATCTACGGTTCCAAGTTCTGCTACAGAATGGGCCAAACGAATCAATGAACGATTCACTCCTTTGCTACCTGTCATTATTGAACATCCAGAAGAACAAGAACAGGACAATTTTATTGATATTGAATCCTCTTTAGATGCTGAATTGATTGATGACAGCATTGATTCTGCCGAGGATCCTTTGGAGGATACTATCAGCGATGATGAAATTCTGGCACCACCGCCCGAGCAATCTGACGACAACACAGCTACTATTGATATTCCTCCTGATGGAATGGGATCCGGATGGACCGAATCTGGAAAGCGCTACAGCCTTCGACTGGCCAAGCTTCTCATTCCACATGCAGAGGATCCTTTCACCGAAGCTTTGGGATCTGGCATGACGGAACAAGAAGGAAGACTGTACAGTCACCGAGTGGCGAAACGACGAAGCGGTACCAATCAAAGAGTACATTCTTGGTACGACTTTGAAGTAGATGAAGTATGATAATAGTGTGCAACAACACACGAAGAACCCATCGAAGAGTTCAACGGAAATTCACCCCTTAATGACAATTTTGTCATGACAACGACGACGACGTCACTTCATTTCTCCTGGTAAGTTTTCTTGACCGATTCAGTTGCATCTACTTGCTGAACCATGGTCTGACAGCTTTTTGTTTTCTTCTTTGTTCAAACTATGATAATACAATTGCACATCAAATCAGTGAGTCTTGTTGTGCCGTCGCACATTTATAAGGGATCCTTCGGCTGGCTAGTGTTTTCCTTTGTGGTTTCTAGTGGATTGGTCACTCACTAGGATTGCATTGGCGACGCAAAACCAGACGATTTCATGGCTTGCTGAGTTTGGATGCTTCCCTCCAGTCTTTGCTGAATGGATGGGCTGGCCGAGGCTCATAAGCGCCTCCATGATCGGCAAGAGCCTAGAAAAGCGGTCCCATTCAATTTTTGAAAAAAAGAGTCTTGAAATCTACCACTCTGTTATTGGATTTGAAAGACAAAGCGGAAGTCTCCCATGGAATATCAGTATCATGCGATCCATCACCCTGCTCAAATATGGGGAGCAAGCGATATCGGTTACCCATCAAAGAGTTCAATGGAAATTCACCCTTTAATGACAACTTTGTCATGACAACGACGACGACGTCACTTCATTTCTCCTGTTAAGTTTTCTTGACCGATTCAGTTGCATCTACTTGCTGAACCATGGTATGACAGCTTTTTTTTTTCTTCTTTGTTCAACTATGATAATACAATTGCACAGCAAATCAGTGAGTCTTGTTGTGCCGTCGCACATTTATAAGGGATCCTTCGGCTGGCTAGTGTTTTCCTTTGTGGTTTCTAGTGGATTGGTCA